GTGAACTGCTTTGGGGAAAAGAGCAGCATATAATATACATATTACCTGCACTCTTCTTCCAAACTCTGAACCTTTTCCTGGACTAGTATGTTACATTTTGGTAAAAAGTTGGGGTTCGGGGGTGGGTTCTGTTGTTTTCACTTAAGTTTTTCAGGTACGGATGCATAAGGGATAGTGATCATATAGCAGAGAGGCAGACTGCTTGGCAATGTGCTTTCCTGCATCTAAGTGTCACTTGGCCATTTGGTTGCTCTTAGGGTGTGTATAAAAGTCTCCTGGCCTCACGGAGCTCTGGCTGTGAAATGCAGAGGGTCACACTGCCTTCGTCACTGGAAAATGAAATGAGTCAGTGCATTTGAGACAGCTTTATAACTGAAAAAAAAAGCCACATACAGTTATGATTCTTAAGGCGGAACAACAAAAGCAAAAAGACGTTATTTACCGCTTTCTTCTTAGTCTACATAGGGCAGATACACAGTTATGTTACATTAAATTGTTGTTGCATTATTAAGTATTTAATAAATATCCTACAATTAAAAGCAAATTTTTTCAGACCTTTGATCAGATGGTATGAGACCCAGGCATCAACAGGTCAGACTTTTCTCTCTGGAAAGGATCTGTGTCCATTTTCCTCACGTATCTGCTGCCCACCTGGCCAGAAGCAGAGTCTGAGTGTTTGTATCTGAGGGAGAAGTTATTCCACAGTGAACGTCTAAATATCTTAGAATTTTTCTTCTGCTACTATGGAATCTTCTTAGAATAACTAAATTTTCACTTATGAAAAATTATATTGGACCTGTCACATTCATTGACTACCCTCAAGTAAGATTTTATTGTAACTTAGAAATATAATTATAATTTGCGTAACAATCTAAACTTTATGTGCTGAAATATGCATTTTAGCAAACGATATATATATGTGCTGAAATACGCATTTTAGCAAACGATATATATATATACACACACACACACACACATATATATATAAAATGCATAATGCCTGTACACTTTTTTTTTTTTTTTTGTGGTATGCGGGCCTCTTACTGCTGTGGCCTCTCCCGCCGCGGAGCACAGGCTCAGGACACGCAGGCTCAGCGGCCACGGCCCACGGGCCCAGCCACTCCACGGCACGCGGGATCCTCCCGGACCGGGGCACGAACCCACGTCCCCTGCGTCGGCAGGCGGACTCCCAACCACTGCGCCACCAGGGGAGCCCGCCTGTACACTTTTTATATGAAACAAAATATTTTTATGTGACTTATGAACAACAAATGCGATACTACTGACTTAGTTTTAAAATTTTGGTAGTCCTCAAGTCTAAGCAGACAAGATTTAAGTTTGATATGACCTTAAAGAAAGGAAAACTTAAATAATTTATCAGGTCCCACCGGTTTAAATGGACACAACTGCCAAGGCAGTGTGACGTTTGGAAATAGGTTATTAGCTGGCTAATAATGGGACAGATAATTAACACTGAAGTTGCCTCTTCAGTCGCAAATATGGGAATGAGATCTATTTTGTAAGGATGTTTTGAGAAGTAAGTTAAATTGCATGTCTAAAGACCCAACAAATTCCCTTACATGAACTAGGTCATCAAAGCGTCAATGCCACTTCTACCTCTATAATGTACACAAAGATATATCATAAACAAACAATGCCATCCTTTTTTAGTTACCTCTCAGAATCATGCTATAAGTATTTAAATGCATTGAGATAAACTCATAGGGAAGGGAGGAGTTGGATCATCACTTTCCTTGTTCTCAGGACCTTACCGTTACGACCACCATCCCCTGGAAACTTTTGCTCATGAAAACCAAGTGCTGAGACTATTACTCAGCCATAAAACGGAATGAAATTGGGTCATTTGTAGAGATGTGGATGGACCTGGAAACTGTCATACAGAGTGAAATAAGTCAGAAAGAGAAAACCAAATATCGTATATTAACACATATATACGGAATATAGAAAAATGGTTTAGATGATCCTATTTGCAAAGCAGAAAAAGAGACACAGACGTAGAGATCAAACGTATGGATACCAAGGGGGGAAGTGGGGTGGTGGAATGAATTAGGAGATTGGGATTGACATATGTACACTATTGATACTATATATAAAATAGATAACTAATGAGAACCTACTGTATAGCACAGGGAACTCTACTCAGTGCTCTGTGGTGACCTAAATGGGAAGGAAATCCAAAAAAGAGGGGATATATGTATACATATAGCTGATTCACTTTGCTGTACAGTAGAAACTAACACAGCATTGTAAAGCAACTATACTCCAATAAAAATAAATTTTAAAAAAAAAGCAAGTACTGAAATTTCTAGATCTGTTTCCTATGCAGAAACATTTAAATGAACACCCAAACTACTTACTTGTTCTTTTCCTCTTATGATCTGCTGCTGGTGGAAGTCACAAGGCACTTTGATCATTTGCTGGTGATCTACATCAGAACAGGTAATAAGAACGGTTTGCTAGAATCAAGTCTCCAGTCAAGAAAGGTCATGGGATGAATAATGAACTGGCAAAGAGCTCAAGCTTTAGGCTGAGGTCTTCCAAAGTTAAACAGTCAAGATGGAGGACCCAGATAAACCATCTGGGCCACAAACGGACGTGTAGCTCTACAGCTAGTGGTGAGACAGATTCAAAGTATTCTTCTAAGTTAAGACTTTCATTTTCACTATCAATGACTTATTTGCAGTAACTTTTCTTATTAACATGAAAAACTTAGAATTTTTTTCCCAATGCTCTTTCTTATCACACTTGTATCCAAAATGTTTCATATTCAGTATAAGAATGACTGAGTGGAGTACTTTCTGTGAGATTTTTATATTCTCAACAGTAAACTCAACATATTTATATCTCTGGCTTTCACTTTCCAAGACTCCCTTCCCTCAATAACTGCCATTTGGAGATATGGTTCCTTTTGAAGCTCGACCGTCTGGTGATGTAACTTCCACAAGAGGGCACGTTTTTTCCCAAAAGTAAATTTTCTTACATCAGTCTTCTCACTTCCTGTTCTAACTTCATAGTCACCTTTAGCTGTGCTAAGACCTCAAAGCATAATTTTAAGGAAGCTGGGTTTAGTACACCTAAAGATGAAAGAGACCAACATGCCTTCAACAGTTGCGGGCAAATTCAGCCCCAAATCGTATTACGGTTCAGCTACAGGAATTCAAAAGGACCAAAACTCTGTCAACTGTAAAGCAAACTCATTATGGACTACATATAGGTAACAACTTGATAAAATTTTCATTTGCTTTGGAAAGAATGAATATCATCTCCACCTATGCCATCTGCTAGATGATCACCCAAAAGTGCTTGTAGCCACAGAGATATAAAACAACAGAATCTAAACATAATAGAGCCATATGCTTAATTATTTCAAGAAAAACGCTCAATATAAGATGGGATTTCCAAGTCTTACTGTCAAAAGCAAATTTGTACCGATTCAACTTCAGCTGGAAAATTTCTCATGGAACCAATGTTTCAACCCATTTTAAACATCTCGCCTTAAATCAAATTATTTCAAAAATACGAAATCTGGGTTGTAGGCCTGGATTTTGACATATTGTCTGGCAGGTCTCATTTTTCAGATAAAATGTGTTTCCTGGAATCTTTGGGATAAAGTATGTTCCCATAGAAACCATGCTATATTTAGAGGTTGCTTCTCTGACGAAGGACTAACTGAGAAACAAGATAGATGTGACCAACAGTGGGGCCTAAAAATAAAAATCGGCTATAATTCAGAACTATAGCCAGCACACAAATTGATAGCATTCACACTGACAACATAAGGAATTCAAAGTACTAAAATGTGTGTATATTATGTTTAAAACACATCTAGAAGAATGCTTGTATTTAATTTTTTTTTTCTCACTACACTCAGAATTCAGCTCTTTTCATTCGGGAGTACCAAGATTTTTAAGAAAATAACAAAACCTTAGTTTGAGAGCTTAGACATTACCCAGTTCAGTACAGTACAACCTTTTTTTCTTCTTAGAGAAATATGATTTATTGCAGTATAGTTGATTTACAATGTTGTGTTAGTTTCAGGTGTACAGCACAGTGAGTCAGTTACACATATGCATATAACTATTCTTTTTCAGATTCTTTTCCCAAATAGGTTAATACAGAATACTGAGTAGAGTTCCCTGTGCTATACAGTTGGTCATTGTTGATTATTTTATATGTAATAGTGTGTAGATGTTAATCCTAAACTCCTAATTTATCCCTTCCCTCCATATTTCCCCTTTGGTAGCCATAAGTTAGTTTATAAGTCTGTGAGTCTGTTTCTGTTTTGTAAATAAGTTCATTTGTATCTTTTTTTAGATTCCACATGTAAGTGATATCATATGATACTTGTCTTTCTCTGTACGACTTATCCACTTAGTATGATCATCTCTGGGTCCTTCCATGTTGCTGCAAATGGTATTATTTCATTCTTTTTTATGGCTGAGTAATAGTCCATTGTTATGTGTACCACATCTTCTTTATCCATTCATCTGTTGATGGACATTTAGGTTGAGGTTGCTTCCGTGTCTTGGCTATTGTAAATAGTGCTGCAGTGAACATTGGAGTGCATGTATTTTTTCAAATTATGGTTTTCTTTGGATGTGTGCCCAGGAGTGGGATTGCTGAATCATATGGTAGCTCTATTTTTAGTGTTTTGAGGAACCTCCATACTGTTTACCACAGTGGCTGTACCAATTTACATTCCCACCAACAGTGCATGAGGGTTCCTTTTCTCCATACCCTCTCCAGCATTTATTGTTTGTAGACTTTTTGATGATGGCCATTCTGACCACTGTGAGGTGATACCTCATTGTAGTTTTGATTTGCATTTCTCTAATAACAAGTGATGTTGAGCAACTTTTCATGTGCCACTTGGCCATCTGTATGTCTTCTTTATGACCCTCTAATTTAACAGAGGAAACCACCACAGTTCAGAGGTTTAGAAAATTACCACAAGGTCACAGGCCTATTTAGAAGGCAGATAGGGATGAAAAATACATACCCCATTCCAAGCCTTCATGTCCACTGCATGATGCACACGTGGTAAACTTGAGATTGTCTCTGGCAGACACATTAACAATCAACAGCTTAATTTTCCATCTACTTCTCTGTGATACCTGGAATCTTATTTTTGGAATGGACCTTAATCTTTAAATAGAAGTATATTTTAAAATCCTAGAAAATTAAAATTCTTCTTTAAATATAGTTTGCCCCACAGACGAACCATTAAAGTAAGACATTATCATTGGTGATAAGCCTAAGTGGGTTTTCAGAAGGAAGAGTTCATCTGTCCTCTGCAGGAGAAGGTCCAAAGCAGAAGATGCTGGAGATGTCACCGTCTTGCCCCATCTTCCCCCTTCATGGGAGCTGCCCTTTGAGATGGCCATTTGGTGGGCAGTCTCTGCTCCTGAAAGAATGGGGTGGGGGTCGCTTGTCTTTATAGAGTTGTTAAATTGCTACTGTGAAATGTCCTTAGGAAAGTGGTAATAAAATCTGCAACTGCTAATTCTCAAAGCTGTTTACACTCCTAAGTCATTAGCCAAGACACTGAAATGCCAGGCTTGGTGCCCTGTCTGATCCAAAACACACAAAGGCTCAGCTGACCTAGATATTCAAGGCAGCACCTGGGCCTTGGACCTCTCCTCACTCTAGGACCTGCATTCTAGTTCCTCTCTTCAGTTCTCTCCCTTTGTGATTATGTCTAGCTCCTTTGGTCTCTCTCAGATACAATGTCACTTTCTTTCGTGGAGACAGTGAGATTTGAAATGAGAGGAGTCCAGACAGCCCCTTCCAGCCCTCCCCTTATTTCCCAGATGGGAGACGGAGGCCCCGGAGGCCATTCTGTCCCTCCCACTCCTCCCCCTGAGGAAGGTGACCCAGGGCAGCATCTCTGAGCATCTTTAGACGCCACACAAACTGAAGCATATCAAACAAGCATGTTGTAGGAAACCTGTTTTTTCTACATTAAATATTTTCTGGCATTTATTTTCTAGTATAGATATGGTCTCAAATAATGAAACCAGAGTTGGCACCCAAAAGCCTTGGATGGTTGAGAGCCCTGGATATTGGTCTTTAAACATGTATAAATGTGTATGTTGTCCTGACACAATGTTCCCTACATCTGATAAAAGGATAAACGATTTTAAGTAAAACAAGAGAGATTAAGATTAGACATTAAGGAAAAAACTCTAATAAAGGCAGAGAGGGATTTATGCTGGTCTATGAAGCCCTCTGTTGACCTCAGCTCACACCATGCTATGCTCCGTCTCTCTGGTTTCTTTTTGCTCCTCGAGCCCACCCAAATACATTGTGTATTTTGCATCTGTGGGTCTCTCTGCCCAGAGTGCTTTTCTCACTTCCACCTGTCAGGCTGCCTCTTGTCATTCTGTTCTCAGCGTTGGTGTTACCACCTCTGAGAAGCCCTCTCTGACTGCCACAGGGTTAGGCAACTGCTCAGGGACCACCACATTGCCCTGGTTGAAGTCTTTGCATGTGATTTTCCATGAGGTGTTTTAATTTCTTAATTGTTCATTATGGGTCTATCGCGTGCCTTCTGTTCCGCTGAGATATACCCCCTCTAACATATATAAGGATATGCTGTGTACTTAGCTTTTGGACCTTAGATCAAACAGAGAACACTGCCTGGCATTTCAAAGTCTCAGTCAGTGGCTTGGGCATGTAAACAAGGTTTGAGAATTAGCAGTTACCGATTTATTTACCACTTTCCTAAGATGGATTTCACTGACCCTAAATGCACTGTCATTGTCACTTCCCAGTGCCCAGATCAGTGTGCAGCGCATACTTGTTGAATGAATTCAGTGTTTGTTGAATGAATGTATAAATGTACATGATTTTCTGAAAGTGGCTGTGGAATAATCCTTCTTTTGGAGATAACAACTTAATCATTTTAACTTCATTCTTATAAGCTTTCAGGGACTAGGGTTGAATGTAAGAGCTGGAATTGACCTAAAAGAGGGTCTAACAAACCCAAGTGCTAAATTTTACAGAAGGAACTGAGGCCAAAGAGGCAGCCTGAGTAGAGGCCACACAGATGACCTGCATCTGTGACTCCCGGCCCACCCTCCTTTCTTGACCTGCTCTGTTGCCCGAAGTGACCATTTCCCAGGCCACTACATCTGGAAGCTTTACCATATTCCAAAGAGTCTTGTCTCTTTTTTAGATGATTGAGTCTCATAACACTTGGAAGCATCCCAGAGCATGGAGACATTCAATCAAGAATGAGGAAACATTTTGTTCAACATAAACTTTTCCTCTAATCTTCTTTTTAGCTTCAGATCTTTACATGCTTTGTATGAATCTTCTCACGTACCTCAGGGAGTGATCTGATTTCCCAGTCAAGCTGTTTACCTCTTTGGAGGTTACCGTACAATGTGGTTTAATTTTTTTTTCTCTTCTGTATTCTACTCCTTTATGAAAGGAAGATAATACTTCCTCAGAACAAAGGAAAGGGAGTAGTGGTTTTACTAACACATGCTACACGCTAGACGGAAGAATGAGCTGTAGTTCAGATCAATAGATTAAACTCAACTGCTTTCTGAAA